TTTCCTTATGTCACAAAACATATAATAATTATGGTAATGTGTAGAAACTGTGCCTGTGTCATGTTACAACAGTTGTCCTTTTTTTTTTTTATAAATCAAAATGAAGAATGGGCTGTGGTGAAATTGATCAATTCATAACTTCAACTCTGAAACCCTGGGGTTTGAGTATCAAAATTCAGCAGTGGCTCTTCAAACAAATGGGAAAGTGGGTTCATCCAATCTTTGGGTGTTTCCGCTTAGTGATATGTTGTTTTCAAACAAGCCTTTGCTTCTGAAACTATAGAATAAAACTTTCACAACCCTGAGCAAATTTACAGGGGTGAATGGCACGGAAACAATAATAGATGCCAGAAATCTCTGAAATTCACAGTCACTCCAAGGCCTCACCCAGTCATTAAATAGACCAGAAACAAGCTTGACAATGCAGAATATTCTTCTTGAGAGTGGTTTTACATTTACTCAGAGCCCATAAAACAGAGTAGACCTTGACCTGTAACTTCTCAGGCATTGACCCTGAAGCCAATAAAGAATTTAGAGGGAATAGAAAAGGCACCAAAGAACAAAACATGCTCACATTGCGAAGATAGCTCATCAGAGGTGCACCGGATCATTTCCTAAAGTAAGAGAATGAGACTTTTAAATTATTTGGGTGCTTCTATTTTTACTGTAGATGTTAACATGACACTTACTCTTATTAGTACAATGTCATTTCCTGAGGGCCTCAGAAATACTTGAAATGTGAAAGTTTTAGTGAATCGGTCAGTTTAATGTAGTTCAGGAGTGGACAAATTAACATGGAGTTCAAGAGCCAGTCTGTCCAATCCAGGAGGATTTTTTTTTAGAAACCAGCTCCACTGGCAACAACTAGAGAAAAGTCAGGAGCCAGCTGTAATTTTTAAGGAACGTTGGCTACTTGGCTCCTGGGATTTGTCCAGCCCCGATTTAGTTAATCAAAAAGAATAGAAATATAATCAGGACTTCAAAATTCTTGGCCCAAGAAAATCTACAAGTAATATCTAACTATCTAATGTTATAGTAAACAGCTTACTATATACATATATTTAGTGATAATAACTGGTCATGTTAACTTATTGCACTTGGGCTTTCTGGATAGATTTTGAAACTATTTATAATACAAATATACAAAAATGTTTTAGTCCTAAAATATTAAAATATATGTTTTCATGTTTGCTGTTTTGTAGATATGTACAATATCTTAAATTGTAAAAATGTTTACTTGATCTGAAAAATCTAACTGATGTACCATCACTGGATGGTGGCCTTAGCCATTTGTTTACAATGCCAAAGTCAAAAAGCTAAAAGTTGGTCACATTGGCTTTGTGATAAAATCACTCTACAGGGGTTCCAGTGACTTTTTACTACCTGACAGAATAAAAAACAGCACAACATTACCTAAAACAGAACAAAAATATTTCAGGTGGAAATGGGATACTGAGTGCAAATGTAAAATTTGTGTGTCATTTTCACGTAAGGCCCCTTTGGTAATCTAAATGCCAGCTGTTTTCCACCACATTTTTATGGGATTAAACAGATAATTGACATACTGGAAAAACGTTACCCAGTCTGGATTTGGAATGCAAGAGTGATACTTTCAGGAAAAAAAACACAATTTTAGTAAATAATACAAACACAACTGCAAAACTATAAAAAAAAAATCCCAGAGAGGCTCTATTCCAAGTAATCATGTTTGCTACAAACATAGCTCTGTACTAACCATTTCAACGTTTTGTTTAAGTCCATGTACCTATATATATATATAATCATGGTACATTATAATAAAATATGACAACAATAATTAGAAGATGAGGAAAAATGATAAGCAACCTGAAAACTGGGAAAAGGCCAAAAGGACAAAATATCTTCATCTACAAAATAATTAAAATGCTCTTTTAAAAAGGACAAAACTTAAGCTGTAAAAGATCAAAAGCTGACCAAAGTGGTGTGCACAGCTACTCAAGACGTCCACACTTAGTCTTTTATTACTTTCAGGTTAAAATTATTAAATTGTTGTTTGTTTTTGTTTTTTTGTGTGAAAAGGAACAATTGAGAAAACATAGTGTTTAAGGGGTGCTGGCTAAAGCTGGCCATATATTATGCAAATTTTAGTCAGGTTCTTCAGGGACCGGCTGAAATTCACACAGTGGCTGCTGCTGTCGGCACCCTTTTGGCCATCCTTCAATCTGCTGATTGAAGGAGCTGGTCGGAAAATCTTCAAATAGAGTTCAGGTATTCTGGCAGTGGCCGGTGGCAGCTGTCAGAATAGAAAAGAAACAGCTGGGCTTCCTTGATCAACGCTCGTAGCCTTGATAGGGGAACCTGTTCTATTTTTTTTGTTCAGCCCAAGGGTTGAACGATAAAAATAGAACAGTGAGTGCTCAGCTTAATTCTGCTTTAGATTGATGTGGTGCCACCATTGGCCGCGCACCGTACTATAAGATGACAACGTAGGACAGGATGTTGAACATTTGAAAGCAAATTATGTGTGTTAACTATCTAAATTATTATTATAATGCAAAGTTGGCATCTTGATTTCTGATGTTTCTCTTTTCCAGATAACAACAATGAGATATTTGCTGGGATTAACTCTGTTTGCTTTTCTCTTCTATCAAGTAAGAGGTGGGTAATCCACACTGCAAAATCAGCGATTTCAACATTATATGGTGACATGAGAGCCAGTGCTGGATTTTAATAGTGGTGATGTAATTAGTAATCTGGAGCCCATAGATGTATGGAAGGCTAAAAATTTCCCTTTACAAATCAGCTGTGTAAATGGGACTTTTACAACATAGAACATTGGCATTAAGATTAGAAACTTTAGGTTTATTCCAACAGACTTGGGTGAGGTTCTTCTAATCTAATGCAATGTGGAATGCTGGAATATTTTGCATTAAAAGTGAATTCAGATTTAATGTGATATGTCCTAACTAGGACCCCTGTGGGTTGTTCCAGTGGGTGGATGGGTACAAATAATTATTTTTGCAGTTTTTATGCATTGATGTCCAGACGTCATGATAATGTTAATCCACCTAAAGAGATTATGGATCTTTGCTGTGTCATTTCAGCAAGAGAATCAAAATATACCTAAGCAACACCCATAGATATTTGTAAGGGCCCATTCCCACCAGATGCGTGGGGCTGTGCTGGCCGTTTTTGCAATTTGCCTGGTCATGGGTGGGCACACTGCGTTGCCGGTTCTGCATGACGTGTTTTTTTCAGAGCATTGGGATGCAACATGGTACAACCACCTAGCACCACGCTTTTTTGCATGTTTTGCACTTCCTGTTCCGCTGACAACAGTTTCACCAGACAGGAAGTGAGGGAATGCCTTCAACCAGGACACGGTTTTGGCCAGACACATTAAAGTTAGATGATAGGCTGTTGTTGGAACTGTCTTAATTCAAGTGTCTCATCACTGTAGTGTAGAATTCCCTTATGACTTTGGCTTTGGATAGTATATGGAATGGTTGGTTACAACCTTTGTCTGTTTCCCTTCAGGTAGATTTTCTTTCACTTCCTGTCCCAACTAACAGTGGGTCAGAGGAGCAGGGAGTGATGGGAAATATCTCCAATTTGGACAGTAACATCAATAAAGGTGCTTAGTAGAGTGGTGAAAGGTCAGAACCTTTGTAAGGTTTTTATTTCTGTTGATACCTTTATGTCCTAACGACCCCTTTTCCCCTCATGACTTGTCCTGACTCCTTCACGTAATTTAAGATTTCATGCAGTTTCTTGCATTTCCAGTGCAGGCAAACTACACTGTGTTTAAGAATCTTGTATGAGTGAGATCAGCCTGATCTCACCAGAACTACAGGTTTGAGTGAATTTTGGAAATATTCTGCATGTAACAGTTTTGGGTGACTTGCAGCTTCTTATTCAAGCCAACTGAATGGAGACCTTCAAAAATTCATTTTTAACATGTCTTTAAATGCATGGCAACGAATGCTAATGGACATGAGATGCTGAATGCATTTTCAGTTACATCTGTTGTAAACATGTCCAGTATGCAGGCTAACACTATCTAATGACATCCCAGGACATCCTAGAACAATGTGTTCTATTGCCATACTGTATTTTAGGAAATAGAGACATACGCATATTACAGAGCATGGTGGCTCTAAGGGCCTGCCAAGGAAAGAGGACTCTGTTGCAACTACACTCTTTGCTCTGCTTTTTTCTGTAGTGCTGTCATACTATGAGAAAATGATCACAATTCCTCAGTCATTACTTGTGCGATCACTAGATCACTGCTTTTCTCTTATGTGGCATCGGATTCAATTGAGCAGCTTAGAGATATTTATCACCACTGAAGTAATTGTGCATATCTGTAGAATAATGTAGTTTATGTTTCTACTTAATTATAAGAATGCTTTAAATCAGAGAAACAGGTTTAGTGGAATTGCATCAGACAGTGCTGCATTTGTAATGTACACCTGTTGTGAAAGAAATATGGGAGCAGTCATTGCTGGTCTCCTTTGGAAATAACTACTCATCTGGCTGTGTTTGGCTTCCGTACATTAGAAGTGTCCTTCCTCACTCCTCACCGATATCCCACATTTTGCTTTAGTGCGTGCTGCAGTTGCCAACGGATTGCCCCATGTGGAACGATGTATGGAATCATGTCACCAGCGCACCAAAGTCCACCTCATCAATCCATGCTCTATTGACGTATGATAAACATAATATCACAATGATCACAAAAAATTGATCACACTGTTTGCCTGATGAAGGAACCGCATGGGGTTCTGAAATGTTGCGTTTCATTGTGATACCGTGTTTATCGTATGTCAATAAAAGATGGATTGATAAGGTGGACCTTGGTGTGCTGGTGACCCGATTCCTTACATGGCTTTTGTATATCTGACAGACCAGCCCACAGGCCTGGAAAAAAACATGCAGCAACTGAAAGTCAGAGTTCTTTATCTCTATACTCGTTTCAGGTCAATAGCCCAGAAAGTATTAATGCCAAAGGCATTAGCATGATGACCAGGCAAACAACATTCTCAGGAGAGATCATCATTGCTAGCCTATACATAGATCTTTCCTTTATGGTATGTGGTGTTGTTTGAAAATCTCACTGTAGAACTGGGGGTTGTAGTCACCCAGGACTCTCAGTCAGAGGGGCTGAGCAGTTCCAGGAAACAAATTATTTTGCTGGGAAAGAACTGGCTTTGCAGTTCTCTCCCTAGAAAACCTGGATTTGGCATGGGATCCTGGAACTGGGAGATTTCAAAGACAATTGGGAGGGATGAAATCTCCATTCCTGGGTCCATTGTTTAATAGTGGCCAGCACCTAATTGCACACCTGTGCATAGCACTTATGGGAAGGGTGCTGGCTAGTGTTCTGGGCTCCAGCTGGGAAGAGGAACAGAGGTGTTCAGGAGTCAGAAGGACTCCACCCAGACGTCAGAAGGGAGCGAGGTGGCTGTGTGTGCTGGAGGCACCTAGAAGACAGCCGAGGAGACCGAGAGCCAGTGACACATGAGGGATGTGTTTAAGAGTGCCACGAGAGGTGGACTATGGCTCTGTTAAGAAATACCCTAATGTCCAGGGACTGGGACACAAGGAGTATGTGCAACAACCTGGAGTGGTGAGATTGTCATACCTTCAGTTTTGCTGAAATACAAGCAGACCTTGTATTATCGTTGAAGCTTTGTTTTCTTTTGCTGAATTAAATAAAAGACTCTCCTGTTTATGTTTAAAACGGCTCCAAGACTGTTCCTTAAAGGAGAACTATGGGGTCAGTGTTTTTCCTCATAGTTCTCCTTAGGGTAACGGGAGGACACAAACTAGCGTCCTCCCGTTACCCTAAGCTCAGTATACCGCGAGCTACAGCTCGCGGTATACTGAGACGCCGCAGCCGGAGCGGATCCCGACGTAGATGACGGGATCCGCCCAGCTGCGTGAGTGACAGCTGGCTCTGCCTATATAGAGGCAGAGCCAGCTGTACCCGCCCCCTCCCCCGTCCGTTCCACCAGTCAGCGCTGGCAGATCGGAGCGGGGAGAGGGGAATCCAGCCCCTCCTCCTGTCACGGCAGAGAGCTGTGACAGGATCGAGAGGCGAGCGAACCCGGTATGGGTTCGCTCACCTCCCGATCTGAGCCGACCTGTGACAGTCTCATTGTCACAGGTCGGCTAGAACTATGAGGTGAGTGAAAAGCACTCACCTCATAGTTCTCCTTTAAGCGCTCACCATTTGTGCTAACCACCCCAACATCACAGGTATTATTAATAATTGTAAGTTTCTTTTTTACAGCACTTGGGTTGCAGTTAAATGACTACGCTGGTAATAACCGGTTTGACGTAATAGTCAATCAGTCGAAAACAATCACCTGCAAAGTCATCAACAATTCTAATGCTGAAACCTTAATTTGGTACCGCGGGAGCCAGCAAGTCGATATAAAAGCTGAAAATAGTGTCAACTCAAGCACAATATGTCTGCCAGGAGTGACACCTGAAGATCACGGAGTAAGCTTTACTTGTCTATTGAAGCGTGACACCACCATGAAATGGTCTGGACAGCTAAATGTCACTTGTAAGTAAAGTCCCCACAGTTTATTCTTGAAGGTACTTTGCTCATAGAACCAGCACTTACTAACCATAGTATATTGGAGTTAACATCTTCCTCTCTTTTTTAGTTGAGCCTATCCTGTCTGGAGACAAACAGATTTTTGCAGAAGAAGGTAAAAATGTCCAAATCATTTGTGGATATAAAGCTAACCCACCAGTTACTATGTCATGGAGACAAAATGGCAGCATTGTGGCATATCCATCCCGCTTTGAACAACTCATGACCAGCAACGCTTGGACGCTCAGCATCACCAAGGCAACTAAGGCAGACACTGCTAATTACACTTGTGTAGCAGTTACTCCCAATGGAACGGAATATAAATTAACAGTTGAGCTGTTAATAGGTGGTAAGACTCATTACATTCTTGAAACCTTGAACAGCTGTCTCTTTTAGTTACATTTGACCTCTGTAGACCATATTCTGTTATTTTTCCTAAAATGTAGTGTCCAGGTTTTCATATAGTGTACCTGTTATTCCTCAAACCACACTATAGGAGCAGCCTCATTAGACTGGGACTATTAGCTGACAGTAAAACCCATGTTAGCCAACAATGGCAGGGTAAAAATAAAATGGTTACTCGGACAGGAACGTTTGCATTGGAGCTTTCCTTCTAGGATATATCCAGCCCAGAAACGATTGAAAAGCCAAAAAATAGAAGCAGAAACCATTGAAAAGGACACAGGATATGTGTGATGGGGCAACCACAGGCTGCCTTGTAAATAGGAAATAAGTGCTTTATCCACCTAGCTACGGTACACAGAGTTCACAACTTCCTACATCACTGCCACCTTTATGATTGCCCTGCTGTGTCCGGTTGGCTCCAGAGGTTGGCTCCTAAAGTATAGTGGCCAACCTGAGGTAGAAACATACCATTTGTCTTGCATCCAGTGAGGCATTTGTAATAGTAAAAGCGACATGGAAGCCTGTCAACAGGACCTGCATACTGATTAGTGCAGCTATACCATTTCTGGGTAGACAATGCCTTTATAATCAGTCCCCAAAGCAAAGGACACAGGATTTGCCTATGGCTATCTGAAGCTACTTTAGGCTTTTTGTTTCATTGTACAGTGTATGTCAAGGCAAAATACATCTTTGCCTTATGTGCACATACTGTATTTCTGTGTTTTAGCCGTGTAAAGCAGAACAAAACTGCTTACAGAATTAAGGACCCCTAGGAGCTTTTGCCATAATCCTAATTGTATAAGTATGCTCAGCAAATTTGCACATTGTGAGCCAGATAAACTATCTGAACCATTATTTATTTGGTGCAGGTTGTGGGACTTTTTGTGCAAAAAGTTACAGGTGAGATTTATTTTTTTGCAATTGGGCCACTAGTCTAATCTTTCTTTTCAAACCCTTCAAATTGATGTGGTGCATCCAAACAGCAGGTTTCCCCAGGCTAAATCTCTAGCGCATCAATAATAGTTTATCTGGCTGTATGTCCTAATGAGAGCTTGCCAGAAATTGGCCAGCAGCACAGTTTTTTATTAGCTAGAAAAGGGACAACCACAGTGAACCACAGGCCATTTTCTATCTGCCAGTGAAAGCGGGCCTATCACTATATGATGAAAAAGCATGTGCACTTCTAAAGCTGGCCATACACTCTGCGATTATCGTTTGATATCTTTCGTGCCCTCATCGAACCGCCGTTCAATTTCCGCTCAAATACCCCATCATGCACAGACCAATGTCGATTTCAATTATCGGTCATTAGCAATACTAACTGTTGTACAGTAATTGGGATTGTTCACTTCCTATTAACTGGCCGATTATCGTAAGAAAACCCAATTGTGTTTGATTTCCGAACAATAATCGCAAGGTGTATGGGCACCTTAAAGCTACCTGAGAAAAGTCTTTTTTCATATTGAAATGAATCAGTTTGGGGTGCTGCTGCTGTATGTAAGTCAAGCTTATTGTAAAAGAAACAAAATCCATTCTAAAGCTAAATATGCGCTGCCAGTGTACAATGTAGTTGACATTGTAAAAAGTGTACTGTTCTGTAACACCATGAACAGCTTTAAGACATCCCCAAGCATGATATTTAAATGATTTGTATATTTTCAATGTCACCCTTGAAGCTTTATGGAAATACCTTTTATTTAGAATGTTTTATTTCAATGGTTACTTGTCCCCCATGGCAGTAGCCAGCTTCCCATGCCTTTTCCTTCACACTCATGGCAATGTGCACTAAAACACCTGTTGGCACACTTTGCTATAACGCATATGTTGTACACTGTGGTACAGTTTATTGCGAATAGCATCACAACTCCACGGTAAAGCCCAATGCGCCACAGTGGATCACGACACATATGCGGTGCGTTGTGTTGCACTGCTTTTTGGGGAAAAAAGGTGCATGCATGTGTTTTCATCCATTGTGGTTTATTGGCAACCCATTTATAACGAATGGGCTACATTAACGTAAGGTTGACGTGTGCCATAACACGTGTTAACGCATGTGCATTAACGCAATGTAGTGGAACACAGTGTTTACGGGCCCTGACAATAATTCCTCCGTTAGCCCTAAAAATGGCCAGAATTAACAACAAGTGTCACCAACAGGATTTGCCTTTAAATTCAGGACCCACTGACCACCAGGCTAAGGTAAGGTGACACATTTTTTAAAAATAAAATCCGGGGACATTTAAAAATATCCCCGGATTTTATTTTAATTATGGGAACATAAAATAAAAACCTTTTTTTTTTTTTAAAAATACTACTCACCTGATTCCTGGATCCAACAAGTGTTAGATGCTGCATACAGCGTGTGCTGGTTACTACTTAAACCGACGCGCGCAGTGTGCAGCTTCTGAGAAGATACACTATTGGCGTAGCGGGAGTGATGCAAAATGCGCAGCCGCCTTCCCCGCTATGCTAATAGCCTATCTTGTCAGAAGCTGCACACTGCGCGCGCCAGTTTAAGTAGTAACCAGCACACGCTGTATGCAACTTCTAACAGCGTGGGAGACGGGAGGCTGCGCTTGTTGGATCCAGGAATCAGGTGAGTATTAGGGGAAAAAAAAGTTTTATTTTATGTTCTATTCTTAGTTCTATAATGGCGTTGTAGTACATTCAGGTGGAATACAGCTTCATAACATATCAGCTAGGGAACTACAAGTCCCAGCATGTCCTCATTGTCCCTGTGCAACAACCAGATATTGCCGTTCCCTGGGTGATATGTGTGTGTCTGGGGGGGTGTAAAGGGACAATGATGGCATGCTTGGACTTGTAGTTCCTTAGCTGATATATATGTGTGGGGGTGGGGGGGGTACAGTTCTAGTGGATAATCATATAATATGGGGGAGGCGAAAAAAAATTTCTGCCCCAGGCGCCCATAACTCTGGTTACGCCACTGCGGGCGACGCTATGTGTTCGCTCACTTCCCGATCTATTGAGCCGACATGTGACAGTTTAATTGTCACACGTAGGCTCTAACTATAAGGTTGAGTGAAAATCACTCACCTCATAGTTCACCTTTAAGATTAACCAAACCCTTAACTGATCAAACCCGGCCACACTATTCAGATAGCATAGATTTGTTTTTTCAGCAGCATTTTGCAGACAGTACTCTTCCTACCACAGTTATACATTCATGCACAGATTAAGGGCAATAAGGTTGAAAACCAGTTAAATCACCAGGATGTTTCTTATGTTGTGGGAGGAAAACCAATGCAGAGAACATAGAGACTCCATGCAGACAGTGTCCTTGGCACAACACAAAGATGGAAGGAATGGTCTTCGCATTAAAAAAATATGAACATACTGTATATAACCTTTGTGCTTCTAAGCTGGGTGTTGTTTCCCATGTATAGATAGGATTCCTGGACTTCCCGTGGAAGCGATTGGTGGTGCAGTGGTGGTAGGAACCCTTATCATCCTCTTTGGATTGTTTGCACGGCGAAAGACAATATTTAAACATGTAAGTTCTGGATACACTTCAATGCCTTTTATTTTATTTATCCAACAATAATGAAGAAAAACAAATGGTTAACAATGTTATTAGTAAATTTTTATAAGCAGGCTACTTTACGGTAGAAAGAGTAAGCCCTCGTTCACACCTGAACGTTTTGTAGCGCGTTCTACGCTCGACGAACGCTCTACAAAACGCTCAAAAATATAAATCCCATTGTATTCAATGGTCTCGTTCCCACCTTGGCGTATTTCCGCCCGTCCCTAACACGCTACAAAACGGCCCACGCTTGAAAAGGTACAGGTACTACTTTGGGCCGTTTTGTTGCGCGTTTCCATTGGGATACAGCCAAGTAGCCCTCGGAAACGCGCGACGGTATCGCGCAACTTTTTTACCGCGAATCGCGTTAAAAAAACCGTGCAACGGTCGCGCATATGCAATACGCCTAGGTGTGAACGAGACCTAAGAAGCAAGTCATCTGGCTCATTCAGTATAGATTACATATATGTTTCCATTGGTTGGCACCAATGTCTGGAATGTTTGGAAAGAAGAGGCAATTTGGATACCTTCTTTCTATAGGCATTCTCTAGGCTGATGAAGAGGAACTGTAGTCTGGAAGGTTTACGTTAGCAGTTCTAAAGAGGATTATATGATGATTTAAAAGACATATATATCCCAGAGGTAGAGACCACACTCTATTTGTAGGGGGATTGCCCTGGTGCTCATCCACAAAAATATCCATACAAATCCAAAGTAGATATAGATGCACTCACGGGTCTTGCAGGTGGAAAAAAGTTAGAGCATCAGTTTTTTATTGTCAATGTTTCGATGGAGCTCAGTCCATTAGGACAAGTGTCTTCAAAAAGATGGACTGAGCTCCGTTGAAACATTGACAATAAAATGCTGATGCTTTGACTTATATTATTAAAAATATATGAACAGGAAGAGTAATGTTTCGTGAAAAATGACTGACTACAATAAACCTTGGAAATGTTTTGTAGACTTAAACCAATGAAGTTAATGTTTAAATAGTTTTTTTTTAAAGCCTGCTTATCCTTGTCACATTTCTCACATGTTCATGTTATTGAAGAACTGTTTAGACTTTAAGACTTTGCTTTTCTTATGTCATTTTTAGAATTTGCTTTTTTATATGATTTTTTTAATGAAAAGATAACAATATATATACAGTATCGTGCAAAGAACAGGTACAAGAGAGCTGTAATATTACATCAGCTGTATCAGTAACATTTCTAGTGTTATATAAGCTGCACTATTAACAGGAGGAGTTCTAGAAAAAAGAGGGCAGGGATGGCCCAGTACATTAGGTAAAAAAAAGTGGTAAACAATTAATTAAATCTATTAGAATCCATTGTGACTCCTATGGGTTTCTCCTAGATCAGGGCAGACTTTGCTCTTTTACAGTTTACCGGTTCCTTGATTATAGATGGGAGAATAATATTATAGAGAGTGGGAGTAGACATAAGAGAATATAATTAGAGACTTGGGAGATTTTGGGTTAACTATATTGTAATTTTTTAAAGCTTTTATATTAACATTTTTAAATTTTTACTTTTATTTTAACTTTGTTTGTACATTTCATTTGTAGATATTGAGCTCCCTAAACAGCAGTTAATCAAAGAGGCTACGTATACCATGCAAAGCATGTACAAATTAGCTTAGAGCGCCACCTGCTGGCTAAGAAAGAGAATGCAAGATATTAATATTTATTCCTATTTAACTGACAAAAAAAACACTTTTATAATGTATTTTATAGTCCTGACAGCAGCAGGTTCTCTATAACCGTAGTCATCACTAGGAGTGCATGCTTACCTTACTTTCGATTTCCCACTTGATTTCGAGTTCAGCAAGTGGGATCAAAGAAAAGGAGTAGCTGCGGTCTTATCCAACACAGGGCTATGGACTCTGCGTGTGACAGCACTGGTTGGTTGCCTTACATTGTAGAAATGGAAGAAAAAGGAGTTGGGGTATGACGAGAAAGGGGTTAAAACTTAAAGTGACACTAAACTTGTTAGTTTAAAAAGTAGTTGAATCTTAAAAATGTATTCAAGTACCCTAACCATTAACAAAAATGTATCTTATTTGTGTATCACTCAGCTGTAGATCCTCAAAATCCTCTCTGAATTGGTGCTAACACTGTCCTTCCTTCTGGAGGGGGGGCTACTTTTGTTCCCCATGATCCCCCTGTGTAGAGTTGTAGAGTAGCCACCGTTTCAAGCTTACTATTGTGATGGACTACAATCTCATGTTTAGTTTACCAATTTGTTGAGATTGTAGTCCATCACGGGAGTGAGCTTGGAGCGGTGGCTACTTTACAACACACAACAGGGACCATGGGGAAGAAAAATAGCCACCCTCCAGAAGGAAGGACAGTGTTGGCACCAATTCAGAGATGATCGGAGGAGCTACAGCCGAGTAATAGACAAATAAGATACATTTTTGTCAATAAGGTACTTGAATGTATTTTTAAGGTTTAGCTCCTGAGTTTAGCGTCACTTTAAGAGTGGAGGGAAATAGGAAAGGTGGTGTTAGGGAGAAAAAAAGGTTAAAGAGGTATAATGAAAAAGAAAATAAACTTCTACTTCTTCTAAATCAGAATGAATTCCCATAAACCTTCACAATGCATTGTCCATCCCCAACTTAGGGCTTTGGACTGACAAATATAACAATCTGACCTCCATGCTGATCTTTGGCATCACACTGTGGAACATTGGAAGCAGTCCTACAACTACCCCATATAAAAGGCAAATATTACAATACAGTCATACAATCAGATTTTTGCTCCTCAGTCATGTTCGAGTGGATTCCAGTTGGGCTGGAGAGTTGGCTCTGCCCCATACACAGGCCAATTGCTCTAGTTTTAAACTAGCCTTTTCTGACAAGTAGCTGTCCATGGGTAACCTTATTTAACCACTTGAAATGTGGGGTGTTAAACCCCCTTCCCATCCAGGTCATTTTGCAGTATTCAGTGCTGCGGTACTTTGACTGACATTTATTCCATCATGCAACGCTGTACTGAAATGAATTTTATACCATTTTTTTGGGGACAGTTAGAGCTTTCTTTTGGTGGTATTTAATCACCACTGGGGGTTTTATTTTTTAATATATTAAGGAAAAATTACATAAAATAATTAAAAAAAAACTGCTTCCCCTTTTACCGCTCATCAGTTTAGTGTTATCAGTGATTGATGGCCCTAAAATGATTGCTCTCACTTTGACGTTCGCAGCGATATGTAACATATATAGTATATGTCTATGTATATGTATAGAGTATATGTGAAACAGCCGTTAACGGCTGTAAAAACCAACAGGGTCTTTCCTGCCCGGGCGAGCTAGGGAGCACACGCGAGCAGGAAAAAAAATGCCGTCAGCCGATGCGAGTCAGCCGGTTTTTTTTTTCTACGGTCGGACGGCAACTGGTGAAAGTGCGACTATTTTGTAAAGTATAGAAAGCTGACTTTTCATACTACCATATATACCAACTAAGCAGCAGATCATAATTCACTAAATATAGCAAATAGTAACCGCACACCTTTCTAGAGCATTATAACAATGAATACTTTCAAATATAATCTGGTCATGTGTCCTAGTGTACTTTGATCCCAGTTGTCTCAAAAAAGTTTCCAAAACCAGCTGCAGGGCTGGAGGTTTTGCCTTTGGCTAATAAATACCTTTATGAGTTCTGCTGATGACATACTTCACCTACATACAGCAATCCCAGTATGTTATTGTGATGAAGCTGCTGTAATGACAAGTAATTATGGAGTTTACACAATTATTATTGCTATATTATGGGTGGAGACTATAGAAAGACATTGCACCACAAATCCACGTCAGGCTTCTCTTAAAGAGACCTTGTCACCACGTTTAACTTGCAAACTAATTGCAGCAGGGCAAAGTGCCATAAATGTACTTACAATTCATGATACCTACCATTGTGATGATACCATTTAGAGGAGTTATCATATAACAATGTGGCCTAATGCAAAAGATAGTGGCTTGCTTTAAACCAATGCAATCAAGTACAAATTAGCTTTTGTCTGGTTCAAAGCTGTTTTATGATTGGTTCCTATAGTTTGCTGATCTTTGCACTTTGTTTTTGTAATAAACCCCTGGGTGATACAATGGAAAGAAAACATTTCACATTCCACATCTAATTACAGCATGTTGTCTCTTGCAGTGCATGAAAAGCAGAAATAACACAGCGATGTAGTTGATGGTTGCGATGTTACATTGATCTACACAGCCAGTCCATACAACACACTACCTGGATGTTAGAAACTCCTCTAAAGAAAACAGCAAAATATTTCCATATGGGCTCTCTTCACTTGGCTCCATTCCTGTTGGACTCTATCAAGCTTCTTCTGGTGTATAGTTAAGCCTTCAGGCAAAGACTGGTTACACTGAGGTGTCACCTCCTGTCTCACCTGTAAGAATTACTTTACAACATAACCTTGAATTAAGGTAAAGGCACCCTGGGCATTGACCTCGCCACGCAAGCATCTCTGAAGATGACTCACCGAAACCATTGCAAAACCATCCATGTACTCCTAATGTACATCATTATGACTTCCATTAACATGTGAGCTGCAGATTAGCAATATCCTGGAGATGATCACAGAAGCAGAATCTTATCTATTTATAAAAAGACAAACAAAACAAACAAACAAAAAAAACAGGGTTATTCAGAAAAGGGTGAAGATTTCGGAGAAGGCAGGAGAAGTGAACAATCCAGGACAACATAGCTGATTTGGAAACACTCCAATTCAGCTCACTTTCCAGTTCAGCTATGTTGTCCTAGATAAGGGACACCCACAGTTTTTCGTCTGGAGATCTACTTTTCAAACGACGAGCTCAATGAGATCTACCAACAAAAAAACACCTGCATTCAGGGGCGGGAGGGGGCGTGGCGGTGCATTGAAGTCAATGGCACCGCAGCTATGCCCCCAGCCCACAGTGCGATCGCCTGCACCCGGAACCCAGGCACATCAGTGCCTGCGTTCCAGTCCAGTGCAATCTGCAAAAATGCTGCAATTGCGCTGGACCGGATTTCAGGCACCAATGTGCCCGCGTTCCGGGTGCGGGCGATCGCACTGTGGGCTGGGGGCATAGCTGCGGTGCCATTGACTTCAATACAACCCCACACCCCCTCCCGCACCTGAACGCAGGGAGTCGGCCGGCTTACATTCCAATGCGTCCTAGAGGCCCCGGCGTCCTGTCCTCCCGCGGTGCTCGTGTGGCCGATGTTGCACATGGGGAGAGGTGTCCTGCCCCTTTCCATCTGCAGCGTCTGACACATTCAGCCTCACGAGCACCGCGGGAGCATAGCCGTAGCCAGCTCCTTTTGCGCCTGAGGTAAAAAAAAAAAAACATGCCCCCCCCCCTCTGTGCAGAGTGCTTCTCCCCATTGTCCCCAGTTATTTACAAACACTCTAGTGATTAGACGATCGCTCCAGTGTTTGTCCTGCACAGAGGATTGGTACATATCACTGATATGTAGCGATCCTCTGCCGCTCGGCCACGTACACGGAGGCTCAGCTTCTCCTCTGGATCCCCCCTGTTCTCCTGGGCAGAGGCAGCGGGGGATCTCAGGAGAAGTGAAAGAAGCACTTCAGCAGCGGGTGGGGGTAACCAGTGATCGCTACGAGATCGACTGGTAGATCGCGATCGACCTTATGGGCACCCCTGGCCTAGATTGTTCACTACTCCTGCCTTCTCCAAACGCTTCACCCCTTTGTGAATACCCATAACAGTTTCAGATTGGGATAAATATGTTTAGACTGGGATGTGATACACAACACTACTAATTTTACACTACACATTTTGTTGGGGTCTCCTCTGATGGGATGAATGATCAGTCTGATACTGATTAACATACAGTTTAAAGCGAAACAGAAATACGGGAGCTAGTACTATTGCTGACCTTTTTTAATATTAGAAGCTATGGTGATGTCATCCATATCCTTGATTCAATATTTAAGGCCTCTTCACACCAGCCTGCAGTGTTTTCCTCTGTGTGATAGTGTCTGCTGTGTATGGGCAGCAGGGGAAAGCACATCACACTATTAATTTTTTTACTTTAAAGGAGAACTATGAGGTGAGTGCTTTTCACTCACCTCATAGTTCTAGCCGACCTGTGACAATGAGACTGTCACAGGTCGGCTCAGTAGATCGGGAGGTGAGCGAACACATACCGGTGTTCGCTCACTTCTCGATCCTGTCAC